CACATTTTATACAGCCAGCCTGGTTCCACGCCTAAATTTTAACACATCACTGAGCAAATTTTGCTGTTTCTCATCATCAGTGCACTATTCATTGTTTTCAGATGAACAATTCTGTGGGGGAAAGATGACAAAATCCCAGGGAGAGATCAAGACGCCTAACTGGCCTGACAAAAAGTACCCACCTGGAACCAGCTGCTCCTGGCTCATCACTGTGGAACCTGACAGGGTTTGAGTTTCTGCTTCACACTGACTAATCTTTAAAATCCAAAGCTTTTATGTGGACCTGAGCAAAATTAAGAAATCTTCTATTATATTTGAGAATTTCCCATCTTAACAGATGGAATGCTGTTAAGATGGATAGCATTTAAATGCCAGATTAAAAAGCGTTGAATACAGCATATATGTTTTTTGAAAAAAAAGTTAGTTCTTTGGCAGGGGCACCTAAGCATGGGGTCAGTTCTTAATGTAAGAAAATGGACTGAATTAATTTTATGCTTTTCTTGTCATATTGATAATCAATGTGCTCACTTCACAGATTCTCAGATTTCCTCTTGCTAGAAGATAACTCCTCCATTCAGCCATGTTGAAAGCTTGTTTATGTTGTTTGTGGTTACCAGGTGATCCAGGTGAAGTTTGACAAATTTGTCCTGGAGGCTGACACCTATTGTCGCTTTGACTATGTTGCCTTCTTTAACGGAGGAGAGAGAGATGATTCTCGCCTAATTGGAAAATACTGCGGTGATCAGACCCCTCAGTAAGAAAGCATAATTTAAAGTCTGCTCTAAGTGTTATTAAAGTTTATTCTTAATCTTTGCTCTTCTTCCTGTTCAGGCCCATTATCACCAGTGGCAACGAACTGCTGGTTCAGTTTGTGTCTGACCTCAGTGTCACATCTGATGGATTCTTTGGCTACTATAGCAGCATCCCCCGTGGTTCTCAACCCATGACTGTCGACTCAGGACCCAGTACAGGAGCCTCGGCGGGGCGAGTCAGACCTGCTGAAAAAGAAAGACCCACTGCTACCACGACGCAGCCACCCGCCCCAACCACCACAACAACTCCTCCAACAAAAAAACCTACACGAAATCGAAATAATAAGAACGGAGGTGGGAGAAGACTTGAGTTGACATTTTAGAAGATTCCAATTTTAGATCCAATTCACTCGTTATGTGTTCTTCACATTTCTAGGTCGTCCAAACCCACTTTGTGCCAGAGCCTGTAAAAGAGATGGAACCATTAAGACCAGTTTCTGCTCTAGTGAATTTGGTATGTCTTCTAACCATTACCCTTTACAGTTTTTGGCATTTCTGGTAAAGATGTATGTATGACCTTTTAACAAAAGATTTCAAAAAACAATGAATGCATTTATCATAATAGTGGACCTCTTTAGGAACTTTAAATTTCTTAACCATGACTTTTTGATTCTCACCTGTCTCATATATAAAATCTTTGAAGCACACTAGTACAAAACTTTAGCAAAGACTAGAAGCTTGCAGACTCTTCATAAATGCCGTCTGATTGTTAAGATTTCTGCTAAATGCTACCAATAATTTAGCTTGAATTCTGTGGTTTGATTAGATGACACATAGATTGAGCTTTTAAACAACCAATGCCAGTGCCACTAAATTCATAAATTGTCTTGTGTTTAAAAATGTCCCTTACCTGTTTGTGTGTGTAGTTTTCTGTTAAAGGAAAATGGCCACTAACAATTTTGCGCACAGTGTAAATCTTGTAAGGAAAAATTGCATGTCAGTGTGTCATTTGAGTTTCTCTGAGCAGTTTAAATTTACAAAGCCATTAGTTTTGTTTTGCTTTCTGAACTAAATTATATTAAGATGGATTTGATCTGCATAAGGAAAAGCATATTTGTGATTTCTCCTCTTTAGATTAATTCAATCTAAATTGGCAACACTTGGTGGGGGGCTAATTTGATATTTCATATTATAATGAATGAATGAATTTATGAAATATATTATATTTCATTCAGATATCTAGAATTGCGACTTTGACAATCATAATTTAATTATGATGTAATGTGTGAGACCCTTCAAATGTTAAACTCAATCATTGGGGATCCCTTAAAAATGTTGTTGATTTTTCAAAATGCAATTGAAAAATCAATTTCAAAATGTCTTCTTACTAGTAGATTTTATAGATTTTAAACTTTATGTAGTTGTTACTAGTAAATATATGTATATTTTTTAGATACCTAGAACTTAATTACAGATAATTATCAAAATGGGTTGCTTTAAGAGGAATACTGTTCTCATAAAAAAGACACAGTTAAGTGAATACTGTAAATCTTAAGTCCCATTCTTGCTCTCAGGAAGAAGGGCTTTAACATGTTTAGAAGCACTACACAAGCATTAAGTATTGCTAAGGGCCTTCTGATACTAAGTTTGGATAAGTCAACTGAGAAATTGTTTACTAAATAAAAACCTCCAATGAATGATTTGGTCAATCGACCTAATTCCTGTGCAAAGGCACTCAGGTGAGCTAATGATAGGATTCTCTTGCTAAGGATTCTGTGTGATCCACAGAGTGTATAGTAATACTTATGGTTTAAGACCCATTTTTTTTATTTCCTCAACATTTTAAAGAAAGTTGGGGGAAAATAATTTGAAAGTTATTATCATAACAGTATTTATGTGAACCTAAAGCATTGAGGGCCCCAATAATTGTCCAACCTTAGATTTCTTTTTTAAAAGTGGAAAAAAAAAGAAAACAATTAAGGTTTCATTTATTTATATATAAATCTTCAATATGAGGTCATACTACTTTAAGGATAAACTCCAGGGGTTTTATTTGCATTCTCTCTAATTAGTGTAAAGAGCACAATAGTTTGAACTGAGATGGTGTCTTTAATTGAGCACTTCTTTGTTTTTCAGTGATAACTGGGAAGGTTAACTCTGTGTCTCCTGGACCACGAGGCACGGTTTCAATTAACGTCTCCCTAATTAAGGCCTACAAATCAGGACGCCTGACCATCACACAGGTTGGAGAGACCATGGCAGTGAAGCTTGTGTCACAGTGCAAGAGGTGTCCTTTGATCAGTCGAGGTAATACCTGGTTGAATTGATAAAAACAAATATCCAAATAATATCTGCATTAAATTAAGAAAACATGTATCCATTCCTTTCCCTCTTATGTTAGGTGGCAACTACATCATAATGGGTCAGGTGGATGAAGCTGGACGTGGCACTTTGGTACCTGGTGCATTCACTGCTCAATACAAAGCTGCGCACCACAGACTGTTGGTGAACATCAGCAAACAACCATGTTAAAACCTGGTCTGGAAATTAAATCTACAATCTCAATAAAATAAGAACTCTTCAAAGTGCACTATAGATATATATACAAAGACACAATATAATGAAAGTCAACAACTGGAGTTTTCATTTGTTGTGTATATATATGAATAAAGGTTTTATACAACTTTTCAAACATCTGAGTACTAAAGTAATTTCTTGTTAAGGTCTTTACTTTGTCTCCACGGTGTGGACATAAAGGGAAATGCACCTATTTTGTCCTAATTAATGGCTAAAACGTTGCATATAATTGTGTAGAAAATGAAGAGAAGCAAAACTGTTAAAAGAATATGCCTCATGGAACTCATAACCTCATATATAAATCCTATTAATGCTGTGAAATTAGCTCTGACCTGGTATGAAAAGAGACATACATTAGATTAAAGAGGATAAAGCAAATTTGCTAGATGATAAACTGCTAGATGTAATACAGATTAATAGAATAAAACTCTGTCTAAAGAGATTTTTTCCACAACCTATATGGTCCCATATAACCTAGTAATATGCTTTCATGGACTTAAAAAATAAGAAAGTGGTTTGATTCCAAAAATCCTGTTTTACTGCTCTGGTTAAGTGTTAAATGTTTGAAATTCAACAGTTTCCTCCTTTAGAAAACAAACATCTCAATATTGCATTAGAAGATCAGTGGCTTTATGTTGATAAACCCCAAAAAAACTAACTCAAAAAAAAAAAAAAAAAAAAAAAAAACCCCAAAAAAAAAAAAAAAAAAAAACTAACTCAAAAGATTAGAAGCTTTTCAGGTAAGGGACATGCTACTTCAGATTATCACATTGCCTCAACTACGGTAACAGTTGTTTGACCTTAGCAGACAAGCTTGTGAAAGGGCACAACCTATGTACTAAATTCTGCTACTAAACCGCAAATGTATTTTTCTCAACAAGCACGGTTCTACATTTTGGTAAATAAGCAGGCTTTTCAGTGCCATCAGATTTATTGCTAAGTATGTCGAATGAAAACAGTAAGAAAGAAACGACACAAAAATTTCAAGCAAACTCCAGGTTAAGAAGTTGAGCAAAAAAAAAAATTACCATAATTTTTACATTTTACTGATCAGATTTTTTTACTAAACTGCATGGTATATAAATGTAAACATATGATGTTTATGGCTAGTCAGGGTAAATACAATATGTTTATAAATGTATTGTAGCTGTCATTCTGTTCAATCCGTGCCTCTGCTCAAAATAACTTAAACAGATCACAGAACTGTATCAGAGCCCCAGGATATCTAAAGAACTACTTTGGAAAAGAGGTGCTTTTTTCTAACTAAAAATTCAATCTTTAAGTGTAGTTTTGATTACTTTTGTCTATATAGCTTTTTGAAGGAATTTCATGTATTTTCTTTTACTTACCTCTGTTTTAAATTGTTGGCAAAGATACTCAGCTACTCAGGTTTGTCGTCCAGTTATACATCCATTTAATAAAACCGCATTCAGTATATTTTCTGGCATTGTATATTTTCTTGTAATATGTATATATATATATATATATATATATATATATATATATATATATATATATATA